TCGCAGGTGAGCATGAGACTTGCAGCCTAACATAAGCATCTTCTTCATTCCATGCATGTCTCAGGCATTTCTTACACTACAGAACTCTCTTGGAGTCTCTGAGCAAGAAGAGCTCTTGGGATACTTCTCCCGACCCCACAACTCATTGGAGAGCATCCTTCTCTGTGCCCCAAGCTCTGACCACCCTTGTGTTTGCCTAACAGGACTCAGTCTTGCAGCTCCGTTTGAAGACATCTACGCTGGGCTCTGGGGATTCAACAGTTCCCTGGCCTGCATTGCAATTGGAGGCATGTTCATGGCACTCACCTGGCAGACCCACCTCCTGGCTCTTGCCTGTGGTGAGTATCCTACATATGGTGTGGGTGCCCACGTGTAGGGGGTGCCCTTGAGGACTCAATCAAAATCATGGGCAAGCAGTAAACAATCACACACAAAAATTCAAAGGGTCGTATAAGAAATTCAAACTGGAATTTTGAGTTTCCCACCAGCTAACTGTGTGAGTGGAGCAAGTGTTGTTCCTCATCTGGGAGAATGAAAGTCATCTTTGCCTGCTACACTGGTTATTGTGAGGGAAGAGCCTGTGGAGTCTCAGCAGCCATTCTATTTGGTATATATTTGAGGGAATAGATCCATGACATGTACTGTGGTTTTGTGTGTGAGGGTGTGTGTGTGTGTGTGTGTGTGTGTGTGTGTGTGTGTGTGTGTGTGCTTGTTGTTATGCCCCCCTCCAGAAAAAAAAAAAACTAAAAAGAAATAATTTGAGCTAAATATAAAGCTATGTTGTTTGATGACCCAGATAGAGTTTCATATGGTCCTTCGAGAGTCAGTTTAATCAGTGGTTTTCAGACCTGAGCATGCACCAGAATCCCCTGGAATGTTAGTGAATATACAGACTGCTAGATCGGCCTCTGACACAGAGTTAGAGGCAGAGGGAGAAACCTGTTCCTCTGACGTGGAGGCCTGGAGACTACAGGCTAAGAAATGATTTGTTAGCCCTTCGTGATCCCCAGTAGACCCTGCCTGCAGAGCTAGATTAAACCCCAGCTCCTCAAATCCGTACTTCTCTTTGAACTTGGGTCAGGGAAGAGCCGAAACGCATCAAGTCCAAACCTGGAAGCGGTATCTGCCAATGTTCCACACAGTTGTTCCCACCGCCCTGGGCTACTTCTTGGCTGTAGCTTTCACACCCTGTGTCGGAACTTTAAAGTAAAGTAGGCCTCAAGAGCTTTGGCCTTGGAAAGCTGGTGGTTCCCTAAGCTGATGATGAGGGACAGACATCCACCCCTAGCCTGTGTCATCCCTAGTTCAATACAAGTAAAACATTAAAGATAATTCTAGAGTGGAAGGAGTGGCCCCCTGGGGGACAAAAAGGTGAAGGGATCGTGGGTTGTAGAGAAATTATTTCTAACCTGAGATAGCATATGTCTAAAGTCGTTTTTTCGCCAGACTGCTCAAGCTCAGCTATCTGACTGGTTGTCAAATGGTAGACCACGTGCTAGGCAGGATCTGGAGTGGAGGAGGTGAGCAGGGACTGGGAGTTTGTAGCACTGCTCAGTTTGGGTTTAGGCTAGGGCATGGCCAACAGATTGCAAGCTGCTGTATGCTGTTTGGAAGTTACTTTGTTGCTTTGTCATGACTCCGCTGAAAGTTATTTTGTTGCTTTTTCGTGACTCGGCTGAGCTCTGTCTCTATTTGTTCCTCTGCTCTTTATCTGTTCTCAAGTTCAGGGCAAAGCCGGCAGGGCTGGGGGCAGATTCTGTAGCTTAGCTGGGGTGGAGTTGCTCACCCTCCGGCCCCTAGCTTTTCCTGAGATTGCTTTCATACCTTTATTGGGAGCGCATACTTTATGTTACTGTATGTGCGTTAGCACAAATGCATTGACTGTGTTTACATAGTCATGCTGTAGCCTGGATGGATGCTAGAGAGACAAAGGGTTAGAAGCTTTGGGTCCCCCTGTAATTCCTGAGCAGAAAGCACCGGAGTAGAAGGTAGGAACCTGGTGATTTTGGGATGAAGATCCTAAGGGAGGCTCTTAAGGTTTGTACCAGAACAAGAAGAAATCTGTAGTACAAGGTCTCTTGGTGGGGCAATTATAGTTAGAGTTATCAGAAAGTACTGCCTGGAGAAGGTGGCTTTTCCGTGAGCCCTAGCACAGGAGTGGAGTCCATTTGGTGGGAAAGATGGTGCTGGCTGGCACGAGGACAGCCCGAGTCAAGCAGAAAGCACTTGACCACATGGATTTGGATCTGGCAGGCCAGCAAAAAGGATGGAGCCTAAGACCTTTGCAAATGCTTCCCCCAAAGGGGAATCTTTCCATTGTTTTTTTTTTTTATTGTAGTAATAAATAGTACAGTTTCATTGTTAAGTCAGTACAAAGTACAAAGAGACAGAAAGGGAAAATACTCCATCCTCCTCCCTCAGGCAACTTTGTAACCAACCTCCTTCCACAGCTCCTTGTGATGACCCTGGTCTACTCATCCCATCCTTGATAATCTTCCAGCTCAAAGTCTGCAACTTCAGCAAGGTTGCAAGTTTCTTTTCATAATCACAGATTCTAGAGATCAGGGCGTGGACCCCAGTAGAGAACAGTTTTCTGTCTGTCATACTTACTCTGCCTTCAATAGAACTTTGGAAGGTGAGGTGAAGTAGGAGCTACACAGTAAAACCCTAACTAAAAAAAAAGAAAAAGAAAAACCCAAAACAAAAAACCAACCCTGACCTGTTGCCAGACAACCTGAGACTTAATCCCAGCAGAGTTCATAAAACTTCTGGGCCTAGGTCTACCCATTTAAAAAGAGGGGTTGCGGTGCCTCGTAGACTTTGCCTAGGATTAAATAGTGTGTACATAAATCGCATGAAACATAAGTGGTATTCTGCACTTGTTTGCACTATTTAAGGGTATGGTAAACTTTTTTTTTCTGGTGGCTTTGCATAACTTATTAAGAATTAACTTTGTTTACTATTCCCTCCCAACATCTTAACTTCATCCATACCTTTAGCTTCTCTCCAAATATGAACAATACCTTAGCCCGCTTCAGCCCCCACTGGGAGGCCCGCCCCCAGCAACCACTGAAACCACATTGGTATTATACAGAATTTTCATTTTAGGCCCATGTAAACAGGCATTTTTACACTTCTTTGTTTACTAACTGCTGTCTTTAGTGACGCGTGTATTGCCCCCAGCAACCACTGAAACCACATTGGTATTATACAGAATTTTCATTTTAGGCCCATGTAAACAGGCATTTTTACACTTCTTTGTTTACTAACTGCTGTCTTTAGTGACGCGTGTATTCACCCTGCCCTACGGCTCACGCTGCCCTGTTGTATTGCTTCTTCAGAGATTTTTTTTTAAATTTTAGTCATTGACTTGAAATATTTTATTTTTTATAGTATTTTTATTTTATAATTAACCTAATTTCACATATCAGCCACGGATTCCCCCATCCTCCCTCCTCCCACCTCCCAGCCCTCCCTCCCAATCCACCCCCAACTCCCACCTCCTCCAAGGCAAGTTGGAGGAACCTCTAAGACTCTGCATGCCTGTGAACAGCTCCATTTTTCCCTGGCTTAGGTTTTAGTTCAGCTGTCTGAAAACAACACCAGACTTAAGGATTCTTTTTCCTCTCCTAACATTTTGAAAATTGTCCTCAAAGATGATCACATTGTCTTTTTATATTCCAAACTGCCATTAAGACTTCTGAAAAACAAAAACTAATTCTTGTTAAAGGTAATTTTATTTTGCTCTCTGGACATTTGGAATTTTATCTTCGCATGTGAGTTATTTTTTCTGTTGCCTGTCTAGATGTGAGGGTCCCCACCCCTGTGTCACCAGCCACTCAAACCCTTTCAGTGTGAGCTCTCCTGTCTTGCTTGAATTCTGAGAGTTTGTCTGCTTTTAATTTTTCAAATATTCTCTCCAAATATTCCTTTCCTAGTAGGTTAGTCCTGTGTGAGCTTTTCCATCCCTGTCTACCTTTTCTTATTATTTTCTCCTCTTCGTCCCTTCACAAGAACCTCCAGTGTAGTTTGTCAAGTGAACCATCATTTGGCTCCATCCATTAGGCTTAGTCCTGTGTCTATTGCGTTCTCGGCTTCTGGCTTTGACTAAGGCTCCTCTATAGAGTTTGTTCCATTTGTGTCTGACTTTCCTGGCATCTGCTCTCCTTAGATGTCCCCTTCCTTTGACCTAAGTTTGTTTCCCAAGGGATTCCAGCTGTTTGAGTGACAGTTATCAGTGGGGACTGGAAGCCAGGGCCCTTCTCTTAGACTGCTCTTAGATGAGCAGTCAGGTCATGGGTCCACCTCTCAGGATGTAGGGCTTCTGATGGTTGAGGTAATACGGGTGCTTAAGTATGACAAGCTTGTCATGCTGGGGGGTGGTTACATGGCTTCTAGTTTGGAGCCATTTCAGACACTGCTCCAATGAATGCTTTGGTATAAATATCCAAATGTGCATTTTATTAATATTTATGTAACGTATTTCTGAATTCAAAATTGATGGTTTAAAGGAATGGCCATTCTAATGTCCACAGATGTGGAGTTCATCCCCAGAGAACCCTATCAGTTCCCTCTGAGGCTGACAGTGTGAGAGTGTCAACTCCATCCCCACTATGTCCCAGCAGACTTCCTAATATCCACACATGAACTCTTGGGACAGACCTCTAGCCCCTCTTGCAAAGCAAGTCTTTTGTGTAGAATGCCACAGCAAGTTTCAGCTTGCCCACGTTGCCCTGTCACTGCCAAACAAAAGGCACAGCTTGTCTGCCAAGGTAAACAAACAGCAGACACCGATTACAGAACTGTTCTCGTCTTCATTCCACCTGTCTCTGTCGGGGGGACTTAGGAACCTGGAACAGCACCTGTCAGGGCTGCTTTCCTTACCTGGAGATCAGAAACTGGGCGGCCAAGGAGCAGCCTTGTTTATTATGTCATCTTTAGAAGCCATCAGCCTATTTTGTACCACTTATCAATAGCTGGGTTACTATAGTAGGACTCACCCATAACAGTCCACTGTCATTGCCGGTGAAATCCAGGCTCTCACTGAGGGTTAAGGGCCTTTTCTAATGCAATCGGGGAATCACCTCCACACAGCTGTGCACTGTGCAGAAGCTTCCCTGGCATAAGCCGGTCCCAGCTCCGCACCGCAAGTCTTCATGGATGGACAGCCTGCAGTTTAGTAGTCAGACTCTCACTGTAGAGAAAAGAGCAACATGGACTTAGAGATTATTCCAAAGCATGGAACAGTACAAAACTCAAGAGAGTCAGAAGCATGCCTTAGAATTATGTTGGGCCTTTGAAGGAGATAAGAAACAATAATGTCTGGTGTGCTCAGAGGAAATGAAGAGCTGGTACTCAACAGAGCAGGCCAGAATGCAGCTTATGCCTAGCAGTTTACCCATGAATAGATGCTGAATGAGTGACTTAGATCTTGAAAATAAGTGAAATTGATGAAAGCAAAGATGGAAATCCTTCCCACTCAAGCCATGAGCATCCTTCTTCTCAGAGTGGTACCCTAGTACCATGCCAAGAGAGGAGTTCACAGCCGCTCTGGGTAAACATAAAATTTCATTTGAGATGTCATTGTCTGCCTCCCTAAAGCAGACCTTTAAATTCTGAATGACAAAAATAAAAAAGATTCTGAGTTCTGTAGTGGAGTTTTCCCATCCCGGGAGCTACTTCCAAATTACCACACTGAGGCTTATATTAATTACAAATGCTTGGTCAGTAGCTCAGGCTTGTTACTAGCTAATTCTTACACTTAAATTAACCCATATTTCTATTTATCCTTTGCCACATGGCTCATGGCTTGTTACCTCATGTTCTATATGTCCTGTTCCCTCAGCAGCTAGCTGGTGTCTCCTCTGACTTCACCCTCCTTCTTCCCATCATTCTCAGTTTAGCTCTCCTGCCTAATTTCCTGCACAGCTACTGGCTAGTCAGCTTGTTTATTAAAACAATCACAGTGACAAATCTTCACAGTGTACAAAGGGATTATCTCACAGCAGAGTTCATTCATTATACAGAAAATACAAGAAAGAGCTGGAATCCGAATGCAGAACTGTTTCTGAATACTCGCCCTCATTAGCATGAGAAACTAGGACATGAGAGGATTCATTGCCCTGTTTAATGCACATGGTACTGGGGATAAAATATCAATAAAAGGACAAGTAAGTGATGATCAGAGATCCCATTGCTCATGTGATTGATAGGTATTGATTGACTGATTGGTTGGTTGGTTGGTTGGTTGATTGGTTGGTTGGTTGGTTTGGTGGCCCAGATGACTATGTGGACAATATAGGAAAGTCATTCTTCAGTTTTGGAAAACCCGAGGACATTCCACACCCCTTGCCCCATCCTCAGTCAAGATAGAGAAATTGGTGGTTAGCTGGTTCATGTGGTCAAAACATGCCACTTGCAGTGGGGTTTTTGTTTTGTTGGTTTTTGGTTTTTTATTTTTGCTCAAAGTACATAAAAATATCAGATGCTTATGAATTCACTTGTATGCCCACCTTTAGCATATGAAAAGACATTACATGAAAAGGGTTTCAGGGGGTATGTTCTGCTTCTGCCGTGCCCCAAGCTGTTTCCTTCTTATTTTTAGATCCATAATTTTTGTAGCTATGAAATCCAAACCATTAATATGAGGATCCTAGATGCAGTGACTCTGCAGAGAACCCAGGCTGCCCCATCTAAATTCAGTCATGTTTATATAAAACAGCATGGCAGCAGTTTATTTGCCATGGAAAGCCTTTCCCGAAAGTGTTGCTACAACAGTGAAAAAAAGCAAATCACACTGCAAGACTACTTTTACTGAGGACTTACTGTGTGCTGAATGTGTGGTGTTTCCTTCATGCTCACCCAGCCCTGTGAAAGAGCTGGTCCTGTTACTTGATTGTATGGCTAAGGAGACAGAGCATAGAAATGAGACCAGTGACTTCTGCAGGGATGAGCCGGGATCTGAACTCCTAGCTCCTGAGTCTAAATTCCCATTTATCACTACGGGCCTGGGGTGCTGGGCTGGCTAGCAGAATGCAGAAGTGTACAGACCGTCTGGGATGCTGATGAAAAGGACATCCACCAAACAGTGTTCTTTCCTCTCTTTGTAGCTCTGTTCACTGCCTACTTCGGAGCCTGCATGACACACCTGATGGCTGTGGTGAGTCCTTTGATCTCATTTCATCCCCAACAGGACTCGTCAGTGACGTAGAAGTCCGCTGATGCCCACCTGAGCAGCAGCTGGTGACAGGGTCCCTGAGCATGATCACCATTGTCATCCCATGTGCTGCCTCTCAGCCACTCCCACCCTCTACCGTCCCAGCAAATGCTAGTCCAAACTGCAGTTACCAGGCTTGATACAAACGTCAGATTGCTTGGTTTAAAGAATAACTTTAACAATAGCTTTATCAATAACTCAATACCATATTATCACGTTCATAGTCTAACTCTGGTGTTTGATAAGTTGACTTGAGCATATAGTTTACTTATTAAGAAAATCAGACCTGTGGAGTAGTTGAGAAATCAGAAAAGAGCAGACAAGGATAACTGACTAAAGAAACAGGTGTTATTTTAAATCCAGCCATTTTTTTTTTAAATTTGCATTCTCACCTACTCATCAATGAAACTTTTCAGACCTAGGTCCTACTTCTATTATTTCTAAGCAAATTCTTTACTCAGTAGCTCTCTCCTGCCATGCTTCCTCATTAGCCCAGGCTAGCCTCAAACTCACTGTGTAGCTGAGGCTTGCATTAAACTGGACTACAGGTGGCCTGTTACTATGCCTGGAGTCTTCTTCCTTTCTAATACTGTCGTCTGCCCTTCGATCTCCTGCCTCTCCCCCAGTGAGCCCCATGTCCCCTAACTGGACGGAGACCCCCTACTTCCTAATGCCTGAACTTCTCTCTCCTTTTCGCCTATCAGGCAGGTAACGCAGGGCTCAGACAATGTTGATGCATTCCCGGTCGTTTTGTGGGTCACAGTAGTATTTGACTCTCTCAGCAGCTCATAGAGATTTTAGTCTGGGAAGGTCTCTATGGAAACACAGAATCTTTGTGATAGGAAGTCAAGATTCTATTGTAGCTCTGCACGATGAGGGGTATGTGAGAACATTATGGAGTCCTTCACACCTGAACAAAGAAAATCCATAGGCATCATCAGCCTGTGGATCAGAACTGAGTGGATTCTACTACTGAGTTAGCTGGGGTGATCTGGAAAACTTCAGATCCTGAGGCCCCATCCCTTGATCTGAGGATAAAGTATATCTTGTATGATGATTGGGCATATTTTTTTCAGACTTCCCCAATGATTCTGATATGCAGTCAGGTTTTGGTACCCTATCCCCCATTACATTTATGAGGTCCGTACAAAAAGACTAAAGCTAACCAATGTAGTATACTCGGAAATGTGTGAGTGGACATGGCAGCATTGAAGCATGGTACCTGCCCCCCAAAATTTAAAAGTTGTTTAGGAGAGAAAATCAAAAGAAATAAAACAAGCTGAGTTAAATAATGGGGAGAAGTCAAGGTCAGAACGGTCACTATGGCCGACTAATCAGAGAAGCCCTTGTGGGTGTGATGAATGGTCAGGAGGTGTCAGCAAATTGCTGTCACTCGGTGTGCCCAGTGTCACCCTGGCACATCATGTTTAGGAAGTATGGATAAATGAGAAAACTGGGCAGACATACAGAAAATATAAAACTGACCACCAGCCGGGCAGTGGTGGTGCATGCCTTTAATCCCAGTACTCGGGAAGCAGAGGCAGGAGGATCTCTGTGAGTTTGAGGCCAGCCTGGTCTACAAAGTGAGTTCCAGGAAAGGCACAAAGCTACACAGAGAAACCCTGTCTCAAAAAACAAAAAACAAAACAAACAAATAAAAAAAAACCCTGACCACCATAAAAAGATAACTGAAAACATTTCAGATGGTAGATGCCCTGACATCTTGGACACGACCAAGGTTTCACAAAGTAGCACAAGCAGATTCCAGAGCAATGCCCCCACCAATTCGTACTCTGGGTGGGAGGCTCAGGTGGCTCATTGTGTGAACTCACTTTCAAGTGGAACCTCAAAAGAATGTGTGACCCGTCTCTCCTCCCCCAGGTCCGACTGCCAGCTGGTACATGGGCCTTCTGTTTAGCCACACTACTGTTTCTCTTGATGACCACGACAAACCGCAACATCTACAGGATGCCCCTCAGCAAAGTCACCTACTCTGAAGAGAACCGCATCTTCTACCTACAAAACAAGAAGAGGATGGTTGAAAGCCCTCTGTGAAAGCAGCCCCACACAACAGCTGTGGTCACGAGTCATTTCTACGTGCAGCTCCTATTGGCTTCCCGATTCTCAGCAACTGCTTTTCATCACAGGGGAACAACTTTCAGACTGTCAGCCACCCATTCTTTTGCTTGCTTTGTGTTTTTCTTTTTGACGGTATATCATCAAGCACATGAGAGCCATGTCCAGGTGATGTTCTCTGGAATGGAATTTAAACCCTTCTGTGTGTTGGGGGGTGGTGGGGCAGCACTAAGATTGTAATGTATTTATAAAGTCAAAATGTTCCGACAGAAAGGAGAAATGGGAGCAGAATAATTATTATTCAAAGCTATCTTTGATGTCAGTATTAAAAATTAAGTTCTGTAACCATTTAAGCCTTATGGCATTCACAGGCACAGAAGCAAAGCCAACCCAAAGGTCTCAGATAAACAGTTTGCTTTCAGAATTAGTACAAGTTACTCATAACGACTGTGACCAACATTGCATTGGGGCAGGCTGACCACAGGACTGGTCCTCAGCCCACCAGGAGCGTGACTTCTACACTGTCACGTGTGTGACAGCCTTATACTTTTGGTTGTGAGCCTAGCCTTTAATGGCTGAGCTATCCCTTCATCCCGTATGACATTCTTAATGAGAATGGTTAGGGTTTTTTTTTTTTTTCAAACTGACAGAACTGTGGGGAGGACTTTGCTGGTCAAAATAGTTTTGTATTGCCGCTCTTGGAATTTGAAAAATTCAGATAGAGTTTATTTATTCTTATGAAAAGAAAATATTCTTTTCACCTATGTAAGTTTGCAGCTAGCCAATTTCTAGACATTAAATAAAATATATATATATGTATGGAATACTTAGCATAGTTGCTTTTACTTTAATTATTATGTTATTTTTTACTTTTTAGTTTCTGGGGGGTGTTTGACATAAGG